ATTTCTCTCGCTCTCTCTGTATTTCTGTCTCTCTGTATTTCTCTCTCTCTCTCTGTATTTCTCTCTCTCTCTGTATTTCTCTCTCTCTGTATTTCTCTCTCTGTATTTCTCTCTCTCTCTCTGTATTTCTCTCTCTCTCTGTATTTCTCGCTCTCTGTATTTCTCTCTCTCTGTATTTCTCGCTCTCTGTATTTCTCGCTCTCTGTATTTCTCGCTCTCTGTATTTCTCTCTCTCTGTATTTCTCTCTCTCTGTATTTCTCTCTCTCTGTATTTCTCTCTCTCTCTCTCTCTCTGTATTTCTGTCTCTCTGTATTTCTGTCTCTTTCTGTATTTATCTCTCTCTCTTTGCACAGTTCCTCCCTATCTCCCCTTTTGTCTCTGTCTCCTGGGTATCTTTTCCTATTTATCTCTCTCTGACTCTCTCCGATGGCGTCGCAGCCAGGTCCGGATCTAACCAGACATCCGCGTTTTCCCAGTATTGCTGGAGAGTGTCCAGATCGCGGGGCATGTGGAAATAGCCCATTGTCCTATCCTTAGGATAGGAATGAAAACGGAATTAGGAAGGAAGTGTCGCGCGGAACGTGATCCGTTCCTTAAAGTACACAGTCCTACACCCACCTGCAGGTGTAACTAGTCAGAGGCAACCATTCAGATCAGCCAGAATTCTCATCTTGGCAGGAAATATCCAACCCACCGGTGATATAGAGAATGTCGGCCTCGAACCCGAAACCTCCTTGTCTGCGTTGTGGTCGCGTGGTCGCATCTGGTGGATCCGTTTATGGGCCACATTATTTCAAAACCGATTAAAATGGATTCAGGTTTAATAACAGAAAAGTTTATTAGCCGAACAATTGTTCTGAATTCATTTAGAAATCCAATTAAATACTTCGCCCTCAATCACGCACGTTCATGCATGACTAGGATAGGGTTGTGGAGCTCTTTTCATTGCTGACCTGTCATGTGACCTCTCCTTTCCACATGACCATCTGCCAACATTGTTAAATACTGAGCTTAAATTTATTAAAGACCGGCTCCATGCATGTGAAATTTAGCATTTGTGTAGCAAATGACAGTATATCCACTTCCACTAGATTGGATTTAATAAAATGTTAGGATAATAACAAAAATAAAATTTTGTGTGTTCATATTACAAATGTATTTACACAATATTCACAATTGTCAAGTACAGTATATGTTTGGATATAGTATTGTCACATTAAAATAAGCAGAACACGATGTTGTAATTAGCATTGTTATAAAAAATAATTTCAGGTTCAATAAAAATGTGGTGACGACTTTACCTCTCGAGTGTTAAACTACAATCGCGTTCGTTTCGTCAACATGATTACTAAGTCGTGAGTCAGTGTCACCAGTGCGATGTGTTAGCAGCTTGGCAAATTAAGGTCAACAAAACTGAAGACCGTCACAACAAATATGCAAGAAGTTCAAAATCCATGTCTAAATTCTGGTTGCAGTGTAGAAAGGATAACCCAGTGTTATTAATAAAAATTAGATGAAATAAAAAAGACGAAGTCGAGATGCAAAAGGACAGAATATGTTTGAACGATAAGTACTGAACATATGGGTACATCTTGATAATTGAGATGGTGTTGAGACAAATAGGGAAACAAATCATCAACAGATGATTCGTTTTGGCAGACGTAAAAGATATAACAAATTACACCAATGATAATCTACTGATTTCCTAGAGGTGGGTTTGATTGATGGGATCCTTAATTCTTACGGTTTTCTTCGTGCGTCGCCGCCAAATGAATACGATTCTATTATAAGATTTTCAAGAATGGAAAAATATTTAGAATTTTTATTATAGGGCAATAGCTTTTTGGTTAATTTTATTCTCGTGAATTGAATGTGGTCGGAAAGCAAGTTTGTTGTTTGAGTTGTGGCCATTGTACGTGTGCGCGTGAGAGAGAGAGAGAGAGAGAGAGCGTGAGTAAATTATGTGTGTGATTATATATATATATATATATATATATATATATATATATATATATAT